TATAAATAATTATTAAACAGAATAATTTAGCAAGAATTACTTAAGAAGTAAGTAAAAATCTTCTCAGGTTATTTAATCAAATATTAAATGTTTTTAAATTATATAAATAGTATGAAATTGGTATGCTTAATGAAAACCCTTATTTATGGATGAATTAATAAAAAATAATATCTAACTATAAATGTTAAGGAAGATAAGTTATTCAAACTTTATTTCGCTAATAAGTTGATCCCTTTCTTGGGATATGGTCGTCTCATTTTCTGTTTTAACATATGTGATGTTAATGAATATTAACCATTCAATTTAATAAAAAAATAATTAAAAATAAAAATAAAAAGAAAAGACTTATCATACGATCGAATCATTTGGCATTGTTTATAAAATATTTTATTTTAATTTTTTTTCACAAATGCTATCATACCCATAATTTATCATTCGAATTTGTATGTTCAAACAAAAAAAATTAAAGTAATACTCCAAGCTTTATGTTTTTATTCAGCATATCATTTCTTTTAATAAATAAAATAAATTTTCATGTAAAATTTTAAATGTTAAGAAAAATAAGAAAAAAATTAATTGAATAATGAAAATTATTTTAGCTAAAAGAAATATTTTAGAGAAATATGAATTTAATTTAGAGTGTAAAAAAAGAAGAAGAGAAAAGTTAGAAAGGAAATAAAAACACGCATATATAAAAATTTATGTTTTTTATTCCAACCATTAATAAAATTGAATAGTTAAAATTTATTAATATAACATATTATGTTAAAAATTTGAGATGATCCTTTTCATCCTTCACACAACATCTTTATAGGAAAGAAAAACAGCGAATATTAATAAATTTATATGAAAGGATTAAGATTATAAATTATATAAATGTTATCCGATTGCTAAACAAAATCACGTGGTATTCATTTCTTAATCTGAAGTTATTCAGAATCTATAAATTGACAATCTCAGTTGAAATATTCATATATAAAATGCAAATAAATGAGTTGACCATAATGCGAAAAAGTCAAACTCTTATTTTGTATATATATTTTTCTCATCGTACCAATTCTAACCTGAAAATAAAAATAAAAAATAAAAAATAAAAAATAAAACGTAATGATGGAAATCTAATCAGATGACACCTCATGATTGACTTTTATCAATAGTATTACTCTTTTTTAAATGCATGACATTTCATTCTCCGACTTTTCTGTTTCCCGTTAATTGCATGTGCCCCATTACACCATCTGTGCAGAGTCTAATCAGACACCACCTGAATGGATTTTCATTCTAGAGAGAGTTTTATTGTTGGCATTTTTATCTATATATCAAATACAATTATCTATATCTTTAAATAAAATTGCATTCTTTTCTTCCTTTTTAAATGCAAGCAAGTATATTTTTAATTAAAACGTAGCTATTGATGCAGGCACCAGTGTTCCTAATTCCAAATGGAAGCTCCTCTAATCTTTCATATGAACATGCCTAATGATGATGACTAAACATGATGTGTGTGTGATCAACACACAGTTTTTTTAAAAAAAGTCAAACCACTGTTATTTTCAAGCATTCAAAATTTTTAATTATTCATGTCCAATAATTTTTATTTGTCGGTTATCTTCAAATATAAAGGATTTCCCGGTAGCATGAACTCAGTTTTTTAATTATATAGTAAGTTATATCATAATATATTGAAAATAAATATATCTTATTATACACCAAAGGTATTTTTCAAGCAGCAAGGAAAAATAGGTTCATTTTAAGGGAACTATTTTCATCTTGGTAAATATTTTATACAAGAATAATTTATATTAACTTATATGAACTTAATTAAACAGCTAATATATTCTCTAAAATTTTTCTTAATCATCCTTACAGAGAGGTTCTTTGACTTTAAGAAAATCAAGGCAAATTACCCTGGTTTCTTGTTTGAAGTTTGGTTTGGTACAATGTCTACTTCACAACCTTGGCTTTGTTATTTGCTGACTAAAATTATGATAAAAATGAGTAGTTCTGTTGTTTGATGCTAGACCAAGCACTATAATAATTAAAAAAAAAAAGGAATTTGACTTTAACAAACCAGATAATCATAATAACCATGCACTTTTGTCACATACTGTTTCTGGTCCAATATCCTTTATCACCAACAAATTTGTTAATAAAAAAAAAAAGTATTTACCTAAAGAAATTAGAGAAAAATGGTTTTCAAAAACAAATTTTGTTAGTCACAAAACATGAAAAAAAGATGCAAAGAATCAAACCCAGGTGTTGAAAACCTTAACAAGTCAATTTATGAAAAGTATATACTTGTCCTTTCCCATAAGCTCCATAGAAAAGGAATTTAATTTGAGGAATCGAAGCAGAATAATCCATCCAATATTTCTATCAATTTCATTCTCATTTTAAGCAAATAAGAAAAGAGTGCAAAGGAAGAGAAATTGATTCCAAATTCCCAGGCTATACGTTGATTTCCAACAAAAATAGTGCCATCCTTGTTATCACTGTGAATTAATAATGAAAGCAACATAGCTAAGCAAAGAGGGTTTGAATATTTTGTCCCCTCCCTCCCAAATTTTTTAAGTAATTATGTGACAATTTTTAATTAGTTTTAATTTTGTGTTTTAGATAAAATTTAGGTACAATACTATAAGTATTATTATCTAATCAAAGTTGAAGTAAAGTTTTACTTCGATAATCTAAATAATAAAAGTTGATATTAACTGTTATTATCATACTAACATTAAAATTTAGTACAAATTATCGAGATGAAACTCTTAACTCTGATCGGATAACACTACTATCAATATCCATGATACTGTATTTGAGTTTTGTCCCTCTTTTGTTTTCTATCTTGAGATACATGCATAAAAAAAAAATTAAAAAGAGTGTCAGTTAACAATAATTACAAGAAAACACTAATCAATACCCTAAAACACTAGTTAAAGAGTTGAAATATTTTTTTATTAAAAATATCATTAATACACCATATTTTTAATACACTTGAACGTTATTTTTAGTAAAAGCTTTATATTATTTCTTAACAAACTTTATAATTACATATGATAAGACGTACCAAATTAATTTTTAGTAGTTGAAAGAACAAACTTGTATAAAGTCTTACTGCTGACTCTTCATAAGAATCTGTTGCCCCCATTAAATCGATTAGCAACTTGAGGTGCAAGTTGCAGTACCCTTTCACTTTGAAAATCTGAATGTGCATAAATTCCTCGGCTTATCTACACAAAAGTACCCATCCCATTTTGTGCTTAACTAATGGTTTTTATCTTTTGTTGCATCTTATTCTATTTAATAGTAAAAGACCACATCATGTCCACCAAAAGTTTGGACACAGTGTCATGATCAGATCCACAAAGCACAAATACACACAAAAGGCACGAGAACCATAAAAGCAGGAGAGAAGACCAAGTCATGGCCACTTATGCAGCCGGCTTTGGGCAATGGCATCCCAATTTTATGCCTTAAATACTCTCCTAATTCTTGTCCTACCCTTGAGTGAGTTTGACTTGAAACTCAATTTCTAAACATTATTTTATACTCCTAAGAAACAATATTCATTTTCTCAATGCCCGAGTAAGACTATACTACCTTGTACTTGCAAACTTCACGACAAATTTCCACCACTTGTCAGCATTAAAACATAGATTTTCACATACCCTTCATTTAATGTGGTCCTTGAATGATCAAATAGAAACAAAACATATATCAATTGGTCAAACTCTGCCCCATGAGTGAGTGATCTTGTGATCTGAATTGTTAGTGATTCCTCATTTGTTATGATCCTCATCTTATTTTCGGCAAACAAGATTTGATAGTTGAGATCTTTTTGAGTACAATGCAAGCCGGTGAAGGGTGTAAATTTTTTTTCTTAATTTTTTTTACTTTGTATAATAAGTAGAAGGAAAGGGAAATTTTGAATTAAAAGAAGTAGGAAGTTTTCAGGTTTTGGCCAGGGTGAGGATCATGAAATTAATACTTGATAGTGAAACCAACACCAGTCTCTATCTATACAATCCAAAATTAAATTGAAAACTGATGGTCACTTGAAAACTGCTAAAAGGGACTTCTTTAAAGCTATTGCCTAATCAAATTCAGAAAACAATTCTTGATAATTTCTTTGACTCAAGTCTCTTATAAATATAATAAAGTGCCGATTGGGTATAGCTTGAAGTGCCAGAGCTGTGCAATGATAGGACCAAAGATCTTAGTTTAGTAGCAATAAACCAAAGACAGCTAGCTAGTAACTTCGCTTCAATTTATGTGGGTGAGAAAACGCATTATTTTATATCCACTGATATATTAAAGTTTCAACAATGTGCAATTCATTCCCAAAATAAGTGGCAGGCTGGCTGCTATACATAAATAGAAGCTCCTAACTCTTAAGTCAATATCAATACATTCAGAAAATTCTTATACCCACAACAAATCAGGTTCAACTTTAATTCTGATATTTTTCTGTTATTCTCATAATTTGTCAAAATAGAAATTCAAATAGAGTAGGCAGATTCACAAAAGCTTGTTGTAGCTTTTATAAATACTTTATTTTAAGGAAAGGAACAAAGGAAGAGAGAGCATAAAAGGTGATAGTTTTGAGGTGGAAAATTGAGGAAAAAACTAGTCAGTGAGAAGCAGAAATTATGAAATGAGTGTGTCTTCTCTTGTTTTGTGTAAAGCTGAACCAAAAAAAAAGTACGTTACAGAAATAATGGTTAACTCCTCCTTGACACCACGTTTTCCTACTTCCCATGTCATTCAATGCTCTGCAAAATGCAATTGAATTCACTGGAAATAGCAGAAGTCCTTAGAGGAGACGAAGCATATGCCCCATTGAAATTTCCCAAACCCCACCCATGTCATCTAAAAATCATAAAATAAAAAAGTTATAATCTGTCTCTACCTGCTACTAGTCCCCTATACAGTTAAAGACAAATTCCTCAAGTATTTTCTCTCTCCAATTTTTTTTTTTTTTAAGGAGATTGAATAATGATTAATTAAACCAAGCACTGTTCATCTCCAGCTGAAGTAGCTAATGATAAAGAATCTTCCTTGCTTTCACGTTTGAGTGGCTTTTCTTCATCGACCTCATGATTATGATCAACACCACCAGCTACTCCTGTTCCTGTGAGTTTATTAGCCCTTTGAGCCTCAAAATCCCAATCTGTTCTAACCAGAACCACCAACATGGTCACTGCACAAGACCCTTGAGCTGCAAGCAGGCCAAGCCAAAGGCCTTGAAAATCATAGTCAGCGAAAAAAGCAAGCCAAATGGACACAGGCATTCCCACAAGGTAGAAGCATCCCAAGTTGATGTTAGCACCAACTTTAGGCCTTGCTGTGCCTCTCAGCACTCCACAACCTGTTGTCTGAGGGCAATTTCCAAGCTCACAAAGGCCTATTATAGGTAACACCATAGATGTAAGTGTTATAATCTCCTTGTCTTTGGTGAACATGCTAGCCCATATGTTCCTAACCAAAAGAGCAAAAATAAGTGCTGAGACACCTGAAATGAAGCTGCAAGACAAGCCCACAATGGCAGAAAGCCTTGCCTTTGAGGGCTTTTGTGCACCTAACTTGTTGCCAACTCTAGTTGAAACACTGAAGCTCAATGAAGAAGGGAAAATGTAGAGCAACGAAGTGGTTTGGATCAAAATTCCCATTGAAGCAACGGTTGCTTTGGGATTCACCAACAACCCACAAAGCAAAATCATGATCTCATACCACCACCATTCCAAGCACACAGAAATGCAACTTGGAATGGCCAAATTGAGAAGAGACTTCCACTGTGTGAAGCACTCAAGAGAGAAACCGCCCCATGTTCTCCTATGAGTGCCAGAGAAAACAATATAAAGAATCAAAGAAGCCACAAGGTTGAAATTTGTCCACACCCCACTAAGAGCCACCCCTTTAATCCCAAGCCTAAGGTGAGAAACAAGAAAATAGTTTATGGGTATGTGAAGCAAAATTGAAAAAGTGGCACAAAGGGTAAGAGGCAGAGTAATGGATTGAGTCCTAAGGTAAATTCTCAAAGGATGCAAAAGTGATTGTGCTATGAGATCAGGAATGGAGTAAAGAAGATATGATTGGGCCTGTGTGGCTATAGCTTGATCCTGGCCACAAAAGAGAAGAATTTGCTTCATGTGAAGCCAAAGGAGTGATATGGGTATGGAAGTGAAAAGAAGCAAAAGAATGGTTCTTTGCAAGGTTAGGCCAAGAAGTGTGAACCTTTTGGCACCAAAAGCTTGTCCACAAATGGGTTCCATTCCAACTGCAAGACCAGAGAGGATTGAGTAGCCAGTGATGTTTGCAAAGCCAAGAGCTAGTGAGCCACCGGCTAAGGCTAACTCACCAAGGTGGCCAAGAAAAAGCATAGAGATCATGGAGCGGCAATAGAGTAAAAGGCCAGTGAGGATCATTGGGATGGCTATTTTGGATGTGGAAATCACTTCCTTGATGAAATCACCACCTTTGGTGGTTGTTATTTTTCGTTGTTCATAAGGTGGTGGTATTAGTGTTTGTGTTTGTGTTGTGTTTGTGTTGGGTTTGGAGATCAATGGGTTGGTGAGCATGTTGGGTTGCTCATCTGGGTCCTTGGCTGAAATTGGGCAATCAGGAGTTGAGTTGCATTTGCAGGTGACGTCATGTGAACTTGGATGACACATCCTTTGTGTCCGTGTAAAGGGGAAAAAATATGGTTTTGAATAGACTTGAAACAGAGAGGGAGAGAGAAAGAGAGAGAGAGAACAGAGATATTTGAGGTTTGAGGAGGACGGGCGTTTGGAAAAGGGGTTGTCTGTGTGGGGTTTTATAGAGTTGTTAAAGGACCATTTTTTTTTTTGGTGGGAGAATAGTCTTTGAATTGCCCCTTAGTCCATTGGGAAGGAGTTCACATTCTTTTATGTGTTTCATTTCAGTTTAATCTTGGGATTCATAGTATCACAAAAAGACAAAATTTATTGGTACAGTATTGTATTTCTAGTGTTATTTTTAAATTAAGGGTTGACAGTAATTTATTTAGTAATATTTTAATTTTAATTAAAAATAACATCCAAAATCTTTTTAAGGTACTGGATATAATTTATCCTTATTTATTTTTTATTTAAAAATAGTAATAAGCAACTAGTTTTTTTCTATTAGGTAGAGTATCCTTGAAAATCATATTTGTTTGTTTAACTCTCGACATTTGAAAGTCTTTTTGAACTGCAATCAATTTGAGTCATGTTGGGTGAACTTAGTGTCTGTTTGTATAATAGTTCAAATTCCATTTACATATATTATGAGGCAAGTTTTATAATGAAGAAAAAGAAATAATTTCTTCCATAAATTACAATATAAACAGATATTTTTTTAAAGAAATAAAGCTCTTTTAACGTTTTTTATTCACAAAACATAAAAAAAAAACTTGAAATCTTTTATCTCCTTATTACTTAAACTAATAGGTCCTTTAAAACTATAACACATCATAACCGCACATGATATTGTTTTAAACTAGAAAGTATCTCATGCATGTTCAATATTTTTAATTCAATAAAATTTTTAAAATATAAAATTGAGTATAAATGTTCAAAATATAATAAAATAGGCATACTTAATTTTAAAATTAAATTAAAATACAAACAATTAAGAATAAAGGGGACTATTCTTTTAAAGGTAAAAATACATTAAAATAATTAACCCCTCTTAAAAATATACTTGAATTTAATCTATGAAGTTTGATTTACATAATATATTTCAACTATTGACAATGTTACATGCACAAGGCTACATATAAGAAATTTCCCTTTTGAATGGGCTAAAACGCCCAACAATGTCCGGCCTGAGAAATGAAAACATATACAAAGAGATGCAATATCCACTTTGGAATTTGAAGAGTAAGATTTACAGGTTAAAAATTTGTCAATTTTTGTGGTTCTTTGGATGATTAAGTCCAATCAAATTATAAATAGACCGTTCAAACTTATGCAGAGAGTAAAAGACAGGGAAATAGGAAAATCCAAAAGTGGAACTGTACACAAGAATCAGGGAGTTTCTGCAGTATTAAGGGCCAAGACTAGATGAGACAAAGGCTTTCCTTGGACAGAACACAAGGACCCATTTTTGTAAGCTAACCAGAAGCCAAAGAGCCCATTAGAGTCCATCAATGTTCATCCTTGATATATAAGGAATTGTGTATAACTATTATATATGGATATAATATATTGCTTAATGCCAACCCACAATTATTGTCTGCTTCATACTGGGCATGCAGCTTGGGACAAAGTCACTTAAAGAGTTTGTTCAATTAAGTTGTTTCTGAGGCATCCACAGATACCACTGTGTTTTGTTGTTTTGTACTTCAACAAGAGATTAACCCTCAACCAACCCCTCTTAAGTCTTGTCTGCAAGACTCTCCCTACTTTGGCTCCACATAATTGCAAAAAGTCACATGATTAATTGATTTTTTTAACTAGTATTTAAGATATATGATAAAAATCATTTTTGTTATTGGTTAACATATTAATATTTGTTATATTTTATTATTTGTAATAAAAAATTACTATACATAAGCTCTTGTTAACTGATGATTAATTCTTAATTGATGCTGAATAATAGGTTAATGAAGGTTGTGGGGGTCGGCGAATTTTATTTTTTATGTTAATTCTATAGACTTTCAAAATTAACAGGGGGATTGGTCGGGTCTTTCTTCACAGTTATTGGAAGTCTAAAGTGGCATAAATTTTCACATTACCTGTCCAAAGTTGCTGAATATCTATTGGACAAACAAAATTAAGTATGACATTGGAATTTAACATTAAAATTTTAGTTATGATATTCCAAACTAAGTTATTTTAAACTTAGAACAAAAAAATTAGATATTTTTTAAAATTATAATTAACTATTCCCGATTTCTTGTTTTCTATCTTTTGAATCACAATTTCAAACCTACTCTCATACTATGCATCTATATAGAGAAATTTGGTTTAATGGGTTCACATGTCTGTGTCCAAAGTTGCTAAATATCTATTTGACAAACAAACTTAGGTATGAAATTAGAATTTTAACTTAAAATTTAGTTATAATATTCCAAAGTTACTATAAAATTGCAATAAAAAAATTAATTTGATTTTGAGATTATAATACAATTAAAATTAACCATTCCCAATTTCTAGTTTCTATATTATATATAATATTATTTTTTAATGATTCAAGTGCAGAATTGATTGTGCTGATATATATGTCACATATAATAATTAGGTAAAAGTAAAACTTGGATAATCAAATCAAGAAAGAAAAAAATTTCGGTAAATGTATGTTTGCTTCTTTTTTGAAAAAAAAAAGTAAACGTACTTAACCCTAAGGGTAAAAGAATGAGTAAGTATCTATTTGTCTTTTAAATTGTCAATGTACATCACGTTAATATTTGATTTTACAGAAAAATATCCATCTTAATTTTTTATTAATATTTGTGTGTGTGTGTATATATATATAATTAAAATTAATGTCACTTTGTAGAATTAGATTAAAATATAACTTTTATAAATTAAACATGAAAATAATCATGCTTAGAAAATTTGAAAGACTATAAATGAAGTAACTGTAGAAGAGTATAAAAGCAAGGATGAGAGGAACTGTTGAAACATATATAGGAACTTTTCGCTTACAGAATCAATGTTGGTTAGGTTTAGGAATTGAACCCGATTTGTAGCGTACGTGATGAGGTGAATAGAGAAAGACCTTTAATGACGAAAATCTTGAGGCATGTGGAGCCAAACTGGCACTAGAGACATCTTTGCCATTATTAGGTATAGACTATGGTAGCAAGAACACAGAAGCTTTGAATATCTGAGGATTCTGGCCGGTGACATAGAGAATTACTGAGGAACACATGGGTTTTGGCTTATGAACCAAATCATATCGTCCAAACGCAGAATATCTTCATGAATTTAAGTGCTAGTGCATCGATTTTATCGATCACATTAGGAACAATCGAACATATTTTTTTCAATAATATTTGGGGACATTTAAATTGTTCTTTCCATTTTTTGGATGTATTTTTTAAATGACTGTATATAAAAAATAAAAATGATTATACACCATATCAATTTTTAATTCTTTAAATACTAGATTTGAAGAAACAATTCAATTCAATTGGTCACCAGTACATATACATACATTAATAAATTTCTAAATATGGAAAGAACATTTTTTTGCTTTTCCATGTTCACCTAGTTTTTGCAAAACTATCTGGTCATTCTCTATGCAATAATTTGAGATGGTTAATTGTACATTACATCTCAGACACAATTTTCTATTATCATAATTTTGTATACAATCTTAAATATTTCGTCTTTATAATATTCATAAATATATATTAATTACAAAAACACAAAAAAACATTGTCAAGCTTAATGATTTTCTGTCATTTTCTTTAACTCAAATATTCGTGTCATTCTTCAATTATTTCAGCATTAAAAATTGAGAAAATACAAAATGAAAAGAACATTCATTTAGTGTAACGGAACCTTCTCTTTCAGTGATTGAGACTTCCATCGACAGTCAAATTAGATATGCTTGATGACTGTGTTCTTTTGTTTGTTATTTTTTTTCGCAGCGCAGAATACTGGATAATAATATAAATGACATCTCATCATAAACATTCATTAAACACACGTACTGTGTGTCTCATGGGGAATAGTTCTTGTTTAATAGATAATCACTTTTCATTGTGGTTTTGGATTAGATTTATTTATATAAATAATTGCTTTTTTTTATTTTTTAAGAACTTGCCCTATAAAATTTCAAAAGCAAATACCTTTTTAAATAAATTAAGCCAATCTAAATATACAACTTTTCATTGTATTAATTGTTAAAATATGTCTGTGTATATGTATACACGAAGCAATCCATTTACTTAAAAAAAAACAACTTATATATATACAATTTTATCAATTTAAAAGTTATTTGATAGTTTATAAAATGACTTTATTTTACAGCATACTTTTTTAAAGTATAACTAAAAGTTGATAAATTAAAATAGTTGTTTCAAACCATAAACTTGCACACGTCATTTGAGTAATAACTTGTGGAACCAGTTTCAAATTGTGCTGCTCCCTCGGTGAGCAAATACTAGCTAGCATCCTATGGGAGGTGGGGGAAGTTGCATGCATGTTGAACAAAGATGACTTTCGATTTGTATATTACAGTAAAGAAATTAGAATCATATAAGATTAAATGTTAAAAAAGAAACATATTTGCCAAATGACCGAAAAAATGTGGGTAGGAGCCCACAGAAAGGAACCTTTTTGATTATTGACTGTACATACATGCATTCAAAATTTGGCCACAAGAAAACAAAATATACAAGAATCAAGAAATTAAATGCGGTGGTCGTAACTACTCACACAAAGTGTAGAAATTAATTTCCCCAAAAGTTACAATACTGGAGAAGAATCATGTACATATATTAATTAATAATTTTTTTTAACGTGTGTCTAAGAATAATCCACAATAAAAAAGTTAAGTAATATATCTTTTATTATAAATTATATATACTTAATGTTATAAATGCATTAGATTTTATAATATTTTATAATTTATAATAAAAAATTATCATATCTAAGTTGGTATTGTGTTTCTTTAAAAAGTGGATTAATTAATTACTGAAACTGACTATGACTGAGAA